TTTTTTTTTTTGTTTTTTTTTTTTTCTTTGTTATTGTCAAAGGATTTGCGGCGCGTGTCTTTTCGTTCTCAACAAATCGTTAATCTGTTCGTCTGTTTCACTTTGTAACCAAACTTTTTTCCTCTCAGCATTGTGCACACATACATATGTGCATGTTTCACCCACATTTTTTATACAAAAAAAATGTTTATTTTTCATGTATCTTTTGGCTCCAACTTCTTACATATTCGTTAATTCTTCATGGTGTTTTTTGTCTCCTTAAAAAGGAGGGAAGCAAAAGCCGAGTCTTAATTGAGTTTTTTTAATTTGATTCAGAAGAGGCTTAGATCGCTTGCAGTATTACATTTAGGGTTTTGTTTATTTTTAATGAGTCTGTCGAAGTTGATGATCACGCGGAACTCGAGGATTGTTCCAACCCATGTTGTTCTCTGGAACGAGCCTATTTCCTATGCCAATTCTTCGTTGTAGGCTTCAAAGTATTTAAGATCTTCTGAAGGGACCTAGTTTTGTATCCGTAGAAGGACTATTATATCTGGAATATTTACCAAAATTATTTGGGTTCTTTTCACAGCACAAGAATGTTTGGGATTTTCTTTCTCGTATCGCACAGCGGCCAGAAGTGTCTTGGGAAGCAGGGCAGCAGTGGAAAGGATTGTCACAAGCAAGCAACTTCACTACACAAAATTCCTATTAGCACACGATAGAAGAGACTGTAAGAACATGATGGGAATGCTCGAGAAGACTACAGGAAATGCCTAGAACAGGGCACCAGGGGAACCAGGGAGCATCTCTTGTGTACTTGTTCCGCATTGGCAAGACTACGTGTTAGCATCTAAGATCCCGACAGTATGATACACTGGAGGAGGTATCGATAGTAAGGCCGCAGATTCTGTTAAAATTCGCGTCAAGTGCAGGCAGAAACACCATCTGGTACCTCATAGAACCATACTGGTCCTTGCGTGGCTTATTGGCCTTTCAGATTAACCTAACCCCAAAGCTTTGTTTTTTTTTTTTTGGTACTCATACAATAACAACAACCAAAGCTTGTGCCAACTCCTACTCCAATTTGCGATTTGATTTGAAGCAACACAAATACAAAAAAAAACCCAGCGTCCTTCGACCGTCAGTCACGCACTCGACCATAAACATGCCTGATCGCCTGACCATTTAACGATTTGTTGAATTACTTAAATTTTTTCTAATTTCTTAACTGTGCAGAAAATAACAACAACATATGTACATGTAAAAGACAAGCGTAACAACAAATCGCCAGATTACACACGCGATCCAACTTAGTTTCGGTGATTTAAGTTAACTGCGTTGCTACCATAGTGCTTGTTATTGTTCTTGTTGCTTTTTACACTGGTTTTTCCTTTCTCCTTTCATTTTTTTATTTGCTGTTTTCTATGTTTGACGTTTGTTTGTTTAACTTTTCGCTGTGCAACACGAAGTCAACTTGCGCTTAACTGTTCTTCCCGAAAAAATTCGAGTGTAGTGGCGAGTAAAGCAACGAAAAATAGTTAACAAATTCCGTAACTCAGCGTTGAACATCGCCAATGGCTAATTGGCTTTTCGATTACATTTTTTCCTTTTTTTCTCTTTTTTTCTGCAAAAATGCTAATAGTGAACATCGGCGATTTGTCATTGCTGTAATACGCATGACAAAATGTACTTCTTGAGTAAAATTTTATAAAAATTGAGTTTGTTAAATATATTTGAATTTCAATCACTTTAACTTTGCTTAAAAGTTTTTATATGCTGAATAGGGTATATTGAGTTAAGGTGAAGTTTGTAACACCCTAAGTTTTCTTATGGAACATTGGACACTATAAAATGTATTTATATATACATTAATGATCAGCATACCAAACTGAGTCAATTTAGCCATGGGTCTGTCTATATTATATATTGGGTAGTCGAAAAATTCTTTTCGTACTTCTAATCAAACTTCAACTTTTTTTTCAAAACTTCCCAGCCAACCTCTCCCAGTTTTTGCCGAGTCATCAAAGACTGGTCTAGCGTTGTCCTGATGGAAGACGAAGTCCGTTCTGTTGATCAGTTCTGGTCGTTTTTTTTTCGATTGCTTGTTTCAATCTCGTCAGTTGTTGACAGTAAAATTTAGAATCAATCGTTCGACTAGGCCTTTCCAATCCCGCCAAAGACTTAGCATAACCTTTCGAGGCGTCAATTCAGGTTTTGCGACCATTTGTTGAGCTTCACCACGCTCGGATCATGATCTTTTTCTCACACTATTGTCGTATTTGGTACACTTATCGTCTCCTGTTACCATTCGCTTCAGAAATGGTTCGACTTCATCGTTTCCGCAAAGGATCCCAGATGTTAGTTCGGTATATTAAATTTTTCACAGACCATTCATGTGGTATCCAAACATCGAACTTCTTTTTACAGCCAGCCTTTTTTAAATGGATCAGAACTGTTTGATGATGAATGTTAAGTTCCTTAGCGATGTCGTGGCTGCTTATGTGACGGTCATAGTCAATCTTTTACATAATTTCATCGAGTTTTTTAACGATAGGTGCATCTTTCACATCGAAAGTTTCAGAAGGGAAGCGAGCGAACCATTGCTGTGCTACAAGAACTGATACGTCTCCATAAACTTCACAAATTTCATTGATGACTTGCGTAGCATCTTCCCTTTTTGTATACAAAATTTCAAAATATAGCAAATTTCTTCATTATTTTCGCTTATTTTTGAGCAGCTGTTGGTTAAATGAAGCTTAAAATCGCACCTTTCCAGCACTATTTGGTATGACACAATGTGATTGGTAGCGCTGAAAATGTACGACTGCAATGACATCTATTGACGAAATACGAAAAGACTTTTTCGACTACCCAATATTTTATTCATCGACCTGATTACTACTTTCATTACACATTTATTGCATTTATATATACATATTCAAAGCATATGTATATATGTACGTTCGACAAACTGATTCAGCCTTATTAATTAGTAACGTTTGCCAAGTGAAAGTTAAGCCAAACACAAGCATATATACCTACACACGATTACTTTAGCACATGATTCAATGAATAATCAACAGAGATTATTATCAAATATATTGGTAGTTTTTTGTTTGCAAATAAACACTCGCAAATTTCAAACACACAACCACACTCATACATATACGAGCAATTACACACATAATCATGCCGTTGTTTTTGAGCAAACAATTTACATTCGTATAAATAATTGAGTGTGTAATCGAACGCGAATACTTAGCAAACAGACAGGCAAAGGCAAACAACTCGTGCCACTGACATGCCAAACAAACATATAAGCATACATACATATGTAACTACATATATACCACGAAGCCACCAGCTGAAACCACACCCCCAACTGTTGACTGTCAACGAAGTCATTCATAACTATGAAGGCGATAAATATTGAAATTTTAAAGCATTTGAGTAGATATCCTTCCCTCTCGCTCCAGCCGCCTTTCAAACTCATATTTATTTTGATATGCGAGTATCTATTTACATACGTAAACCCAAAGTCGAAGGAAGTCATGTGTATGCCAGCGCTAAGGATCTATATGTGCATATATGTGAATATGATGTGTGCAATCGTGTGACTAAGACTTTTCTTTGATCTTAAAGTGCGCTATTAATGACACGCTGCGATAAAAGTCAACACCAATTTGTATTGTGACGTGTTGTTACCAATGAACCGCCGAAATCCAAGCCAACATATATGCACCTATAATAACTGTATATTGTACATGTTCATATGACTGTTTATTTATGCATATGTTTGTATATTATACATAAGCCATAAATAAACTCACTTTAAACTGCCTACATCACTCATACGCCTCGTTGTGCCTTTAAAGCGTTTAAAACAAATGCGGTGCATAGTCAGCCTGTCGCTTTTCAGATCATACGCTATGCATTTAACTGAAATGAAATGTGAATGAAAATGTTGGCATACAAGGCTACATGTGTTCGTTTACAAGAAAGCAACAACAAAAAGTAATAATAAATAGTTTGATAAAATGTATAATTCCATTGCCGTGTCACTGCAGCCAGCAAACAAGCAGTTGTTGTTATTATTGTGGCTTGGAGTGGATCGGTTTTGGCAACGCCCCAACATTCACTCCTTCAATATGTGACAACTGGACACTTGTAAGTACAGTTGTTCACATATACATATATGAAAAAAAGCTAGGCGACTGCACGAGAACACTTTCTCAATATAACAAGTGTGTGGAAAATTTAATGATTTGTTGGTACAGGTGTCTTTTTCAAAGACGATGATAAATGTTTGTTTCAAAATCTTTTTTTTTTTTTTTGTCAGTCCGGGTCAAATTTGATCATATATACATGTGATGCATATTGGAAAACTTTTGTAATCGAAGTCTAAAGGATGATTTTGAATATACAATTACAAAAATTAACCTTCGAATCCAACAAACTTTAAGTATGGTCCCAGATTACTCCAATTTCTTTTTGATTTCGAATTAGAGAACTAGAAAATACCACCGAGCTAACCAACGGTAGTCTCTAAATACAGTGACTAAGCTACGATTATACATATTGTATAATTCTAAACAAATTTCGAGACAGACCCTAAAACATAATCTTTTTGACAGTGAAGACATTAACTTTGACCTTTTTGGCTTTCATCCAGACCACTGCAGTGTCTTGGAAGCAAAGATCACAGCAATATCCAGAGTAGTAACAAAAGTTTTGATGTTCTGATAAGGAGTCAGGACAACAAGGAATATATTAATATTATTATAGCCAAGGGGCTTTAAAATCGTGATTTTTTCTAAGGTTTCGTCAAAGATAGTGAAAGAACGCCTTGATCTTTTGTTGGATCTAATTATTAGAGCAATGGATACTACCTATCTAGCTACCTACGCTCTCAATTATGAATAATAAAATTTTCGGAAAGATATTTCTAATATTCGCACAATTTGAAGCCTTACTAAAGTATTTCGTTAAATTGTTATCTTTACTCTTTCTTTTTTCAGCTGGTCGCACACAACCGTGGTGGTGTCGTAACAATCGCAATGGCGGCTCGAATGGTCGTTCCACACTCTCCATCAAACATCAAGCCGACAGCATAAGAAGACGTCCGAATAGTAACTCTGGTGTTTGGTCATGGAGTCGCCGTTCGTCGGCTAGTCCAGATCAAATTGGACCACCGTCATCGTCGCCAGCCGAAAATCATTACACACACATGGACGATGCATATAGTCCAGTTAATGAGGCATTGTACGCTGAATTGGATCGCGAATCGGTACGTTCGGCAAATCCGTCATATCAAAATACGGCCTACAGTCAGTGTGGTGAGGTGAGTTAAGGCAATAGACAGAATTTCGGAATTCAGAATTTTTTAGTTCGTTAAATTAGTTTCTATAAATTTTTTTATAATCAAAAAAGTTTTTTCCCGATTTAATAATAATCACTGAAGTCATGGTCGGTATTGTAGGAAGATGATCCCAAAAGCGTTCGATGGTTTTTCAAAATAAGCTGTTAGAATSACATCCAAATCGATTCGGCTGCGTAGAATCATTCATCATAAAAAACCCATTTGTTTACGATAATCAGCTCCAGCGTTTTATGAAATTTATTCTAGAAATATATTATCCCGAAATATAATATAATAGAAGCTTATCCAAATTGACTAAAAGTTATATGTAAAATAATTGTCGAGTTCAATTTTTATTTTAAAAAGTTTTCAAACAACCACACTCATTGTGACGCAATTGTTTGTGTAATCGAAAATCAACTAAAACAATAAATTCTTCTTAATTTTACCTTTCAGAAATACAATTTCCAACAACACGAGCAAGACATTCCGATGGTGGTGTCATCAGCGCCCAGCAGCGCCTATTATTCCGACCTCTCGGTGACCGCCATGCCAGGCGGCGGCAATGAGCGTGCCTACGAAATAGTTGGCCTCACGGTCATGTCACAACCACTGCCCAACTGGGAAGGCAGTAGCGGCGGCGGTGGGGTCATGGGGGTAGGTGTTGGCGGTACAATGGGCCCCCTCGGCAGCGGCGGACCAAACGAAGCCTCGCAACGGCGCATACCACGCTTAGCGGCCATCAATGAGACAAGCACAAGCACCGTGGCGGCAACAGTGCCCTCAGACTATGTATGAGATACGGAGGATGAGCGGCAGTGCGAGGAGGGTGTATAGCGGTTTTAAAAAGCATTTTAATGAAATTGTTTTCAAATATGCACTTGACGAAGTGTAGCATACTTTACGGGCGTTAGTTGTTATGAACAAATGGCAACGGTAGTTTGCTGGAGACGGAAAGCAGCAGATAAATGTAAAAAAATCATATTTAGGGCAGTAAAAACGAAAGTGGGAAGTGGGAATTCAACGAGCTTATATTTGTTAATAAATAATTTATTGTGAATTATTCAAAACTGTTGAAACAGTGAGATTCTTGAAAGCATAAAGCGCTATTTATGTAGAGTTATATTAGATTAAACTATTATATTATATATGTATACATAGAATGTATCTTTGAGGTAAAAATAATGTTAAAGTGCTTACGAATATTTATAGAATTGCTATATTATGGTATGAAATGGAAGGTGAAACAATAAAACAAAGCAAAAAAATAATTATTGTAATTATTCTATTGTAATTGAGTTAGTATGTAAGTCTGTTAAGAGTTAACGATTTAATCGTTGGTGATATTTAGCCTAAATATTTAGTGTGGACACATAGATGTGCGAATTGGCGTTAAAATGCGACAAGTAAACTTTGTATATGAAATGCGGTATACGTTTAGAAATAAATACACACACACATGCGTATACAAAGATGTTTTAGAATTAGAGACAGCTATCTATGTATACAATGTAGAAGCAAGAAAAGAGAAATTACAAAAAAAGATTTCAAAAAAATATTTAAAAAAAATTTTAAAAAAATATAATTAAAAATTATATAAAAATGTTTAAAAAAAATATTTAAAAATATATAATTAAAAACTATAAAAAAAAATATTAAAAAAATATACATAAAAAAGCTACGCGAGTTAAACATTATTAGAGACATATTGAAATCCTTAAAGGAACATATTAGAATAATGCATATTTAGCTGTTAAGCGTGCGTGTATGTAAAATGTACATATATAATGTAAAGGACGAAAGAGTTCACGAAAATACCGATATTTCTCTTAAAGCTTAGAAATTACATTGACACCCACCATATAAAAGTCTCTAAGTACATTCAAAATGGCAATTTAATGCTTTCGAAATCAATACTTTTGTGCATTGACTCAAAAGTGCGATTAAAGGGTTATATACAGTTAGAAGGCCATAAAAACGAAATTAACATATTAATAAAAATATGAGTTTGGAAAGGAACTACAGCTGATATCCGGTAACTTCTTCCGAAAAGACTCTGAACTGAATCCTCTGAAATTGAAAAACCAAACAAATTTCGTTAAAATAATGTTAAAGTTAGTACTTAATCAAAGAAATAAGCAAAATAATTTGTTTTAACAAAATAACGGTTTCTCACAACTTTTGTCCTTTAACTCATAAGTGCACGTTGATATTTTGTGTGTATTGAAGTTCTCTAAAATATTTGGGCTTATTTTTTGTCACGCTAGGAGAGCCTGCTCCCACAATTCATTTAGTTCTTGAAGCTTCCTTTTCCGAATTTTTTTTTTGTTAAAATGGCCCAAAAGTTCTCAATGGGGTTAAAATGAGTTCTACAGAATATCAATATTAACTGTGATAGGCATTAACCAACAATCCGACACAGATCATTTGCGGGAAAAGAACCACAAGCCATCAGTGATCCACCTTCAAATTTCATTTTTTGGCATATGTTGGAATCCTGAAGACCAACCATTTTGTCAACCGATGTCCATGAGCCCCCACCTGATCCTATTCGATTAATTTTGGTTTCATCGGACATTTCTTCCAATCAAGCATGTTGAATTATTCATATTTTGGCGAACTCTAATCGAACTTAACGGTGCTTATCACTTAAGAACGGGCTTTTTACCATCGCTCTGGCTTTAAGCCCGTTATTTTTCAGGCAAATCGGTACAGTCTTAACACTGGCATTGCCTTTATGGTCCTCTCTGATGACTTTATTAGTTTCCACAGCGGTTTTTATTGCGAACAACCTCTGCTTTTTCGCCATAAACGAACTCAATTTACATATATTCGTGAACACTTTTGTCCCTTACTGTACATATTTGTATGTTAAACTTAGTTTGTGTATGTATAAAGTTATTGTATTAAAGTGAAAAAATCGCATATTTATATATTGTAAATGTTTCCGTATTGACTGAGCCTATTTACTTGCATATGTATGTATGTATGTACATATGTGCACTTTTAACTATACTATTATCATAATAACACGTAAACCAATAACAATGACCTTGCCTCACAATGCATATTGCATACATACATTATTTTTACATATGCATATGTACATATACATACATACAATTATTTACAACTTAATTGTTATAAAACAAATATACATTCAATATTTACAAGCTGCTGATTTCAAAGGATATTCTGATGTGCTCTAGCAAGTAAGCGTTAAAAAGAATAATCAGAAAACGAACTCTATATCCGATATGAATTTATATATTTTTTACCTCTCTGTCAGACATATTGTACATACATATTCACAAAATATTAAATTTATAATTGCGCTTATTTAAAAAACGAAAAAGATTTTTGACTTTTTTATAAAAGTTGTGAGAATATCTGTTTTAATAGATACCTCTTCTTATTACCTTTTATTTGTTACAATTTTTGCAAAACCATTTTGTTAAACTAAAAATCCGCCTTGCAGGTAAATACTTATATTAATTATTATGAAAATATTATTACTTTCTGACCAATATAATTCTAAAACTTTCATCTTGAGTGGCCGAATATGTAATTTATAAAATACTATATATGTGGACGTAACATAGTTTAATATTTTTTAAGAAAATAAAGAATGAACTTTTAATATAAAAAAATGTTTTTGGATGTTGCATCGTGCCGATTGAGTAAAAAATTATTACAACACTTTGCTTAATATTCTGAATTTTCTGCATTTTTGAGTACAGTTTCTTGCGCAGATTTCTGCTTTTCACTTTTTTTCGCTTTTGAACTATGCACAACTTGTCGCTGATGAATCTTTCGATGCGTGCGCAATGCTGCTGGTTGTAAAAAGCGTTTACCACATTCCGGACATTCATTCGGTTTCTCGCCCGTGTGGGTCATTTCATGGTACTTGCGCGTGTCCGGCTTAGCAAAAGTTCGCTCACAATAGCGGCATGCATAATCTTTGGCACGCTCATGCACAGTGCGTACATGTGTTTTTAAATTGCCTGAGCTATTACAAATGTGTGTGCAAAACCGACATGGCCATGTACGTTCCAGCGTATGATAATTAATATGCACCTAGAAAGAATGAAAGGAAAATATGGAAAAGTGTTTTTATAGTGCATTAAAGCAGCTACCTTCAACTCGTTCATTGTGGTTTTTCGCATGCCACAATGTGGACACACATAGTTCTTAATTCCGGCATGTCGCATAAGATGCACCTTTAGCTTATCCTTATTTGCGAATCGACGCATGCAATTCGGCTGGTCGCAAGCGTAGGGACGTTCAGATTTGTCCTTGTGCGTGTAATGATGATCGTTTAGCATTGTGGTCGTTTTAAATACTTTGCCACAAATCTCACAAATGTGCGTTTTCAACTCCGGTCCCAATTTATGATATTTGCGCTGATGCATCACTAATGTTGGCTTGTGCTTATATACTTTGTCACAACCGTCTTGATCGCAAGCGTACTGAAAACTATATCCCTCATGCTGTCTAAGATGCCTTGCCAATGCGCTTCTACGATTAAATGCTTTGGTGCAATCCTCTTGCGAACAAGGATACGGCATAAGGCCTTCATGTTCGCGTTTGTGCGCAATGAGACGATGTTCAACAAAGAATCGTGACGGGCAGATATCACAACGGTAAGTTACTTTCATTTCGCAGTCAGGCAATTTTTTTAGATTCGTTTTTTCTGATTGCACCCTTCTAATACTATTTAATTTAATTTTATCAACATTTTCGTAACTTTTACAGTTTTCATTAAGAGAAGAATTGTTGCTGAGGTTATCCACAACATCAGAATAACAGTTGTCTTCATTATTACCATGCATGTTTGGTGTTGACATTTCTTGTCCATAGTATTCTGCATTTTCTATTTCATATTTCTTATTACAATCATCAGAAGTAATTGAAATTTGCTTTTCCAAATTATCTTTATATTTTACAGGGCTAGCAAGATGATTTAGTTCGTTCACTCGAGTAAGGCTTCTCGACGGATCTTCCAATACTAATATGGGGACTTCGTCCTCTGAAAGCAATGATTTCTTAATCAATATCAGCTTTTCAAAATGTTGAATTGTTTCTCTACACATTTCTCGAAACTCATAGAAATCATTAACCTTCTGATAACAACATTCGCATAAAAATTTTGGATATTCGTCTCCAAGAGATATCTCTACCGAGATACAGCTGGCAAATTTCTTTGCGATATCCGGTGTTTCGAAAATGTGAACTTTATTCATTGCATTTAAATTTTTGTGTGAATTTAATTCTTTTGTACAAGCTCGGCATGTATAAGCAAGTTCATCCATATTGAAGGGTTTAGACGAATGTACATATTACTGCGGTTGAACTTTATTAACTGGATTGAACAGTAGGAGATTGATGACAAACACAAATTTATATTTGATCAGCAACTTTAAGTTTATAATGAATCTTTAGGTAGAGAAATATGGCAGCAGCATTTCCCTATATGTGATAATTCTGGAACATCATTCCTCCATTGAGAAATACACTTTTATCAACAGTTCCAAAATACCTAAACACGGTATGTATACGTCGAAGTTACATCGGTGTATAGAGAATTTTAAATTTTTTACTTGCACTATAGGGTTTTATGAAAATATTATTGTTTACGTGAAGGCGTTTATATGCATTTTATTGTATCAGCTGTTTTGGGAGCCCAATTGCAATCAAAACAGGGTTGCCAAGTTTATTTGATATTTTTGGTTGATGTATTCGCTACGTCAAAGAATTTTTATTTACGTTCTATGATAGAAGAAAAGTACTTATCGTCACTTAAAATGTAAAATATCCTATCATCAAAAAATTCAAAATTGGGTATCTTATTGATCACTACTTCGAATTACAAATATAATATTTCATATGTGCAACATTTTCAAGTTCTTCGGTCATATATGAACCAGTGTTAACCAATATTAACATTTTTTTCACTCTTGTTCCATTTTATAGAGTGTTTCATTCACTTCACTGTATGTAAATTTTCGAAAATATTGTTACGTTATTTTAGCTGACTATATATTTTATACAAGGTATAATTGAAATTTGGTGGTATATTTATTTCTGTTAGATTTTTTGCATTAACATACAAAATGGAAACCTTTAAAGTTTAAATGTTATTGTTTCGGAAGTAATGGCATTGTATAAAAACGTATTATCGATAGGTTTATATTGTTTGGTTACAATCTTTATGACCTCCTGGGCTACACAACCACCTGTTAGATTAAAAAAAGTTTTAATTATTAAAAAAAATTTATACACTTATGTACACATTACCTATGAACGCTGATATTGAATGTATCTCCGAGCCACCGTAACGACAAATTTCATGTATCAAGTCATCACTAATAGAGGCATGAACTCCCCAATCCGACAGCATTTTACTTGCGACCGTTTTTAGCTCTTTCACATCGTTTTCAACGTAACATTCACCCGGTACATTACCACATTCCGATACAAAACGCTCATATGCACGTAGGGCCACATAATGTTCAGCCAGCGTACCTTGAATCTCTAAATCATCAACTAAAAAATCAATGGTAAGGAAAATAATCAACCTAAATCAATGCATTTAACGAACCGAATGAAAGTATGTTACTGCTTTTAGCATTTTCATCAGTAATTTTAGTGCCACGTAAAACTGCTAGACCAGCTGCTTCTTTGCAAAATAAGCGTACTGTTTTTTCACTAATGGTGTCTTCAGGCAAACCAAGTTCTTTTAAGTATTTCTGACATTTGCGATAAACGTTGTCCGCATCATGTAAAGCTTGTTGACGGTAAATATTCTGTAATGTTATATATGGTTCAGTGTCAGCAGTCATATCCGGTAGCACACCAGGAAGTGGCAACAACCCATTATTATCATTCTCTACAAATTCTTTTAAAGCTTTGGTTATTATCCAGAAGGGGCTGCTTTGTTTGTTAAGGTTCGTACAAGCATTATCCTGGAAAATCGTTTTGATCGAAGAAGACACATTACCTCCACCTAAAGCAGTATTTATCGCTTTAATGGCTTCTTCATAATTTTCCTCATCTGCCGTCATTGCTGAAATTTTAATAATTTGATAAATAACAAATTATTTAAATTTATTAGTTTACCTGCGCGAATCATTTCCTTCAACTCCGACTTTTGCTTATAATTCGCAGGAAAGTGTCCACCGTACTTCTGTTTCCATCCTTGCAGGAATTTATTAAGCACCAACAGCCATGGAACCTTACTAGTTATTTCTGTGCTCTAAAGAAATCAATAAAAATATACTTTAAAGCAATTAACCTCTAGAATTTTAGAAAATATTTTATATTCATAAAAAGTTTACCTCGAAATGTTTTTGTAATGCGGGAAAGGGTTGTTCTAGTCGGAGATCATACTGACGGTTATCGGGATGTGATTCAATGACACAATGTTCTTTTATTTGTAAGCGAATAGAACCAAAAAAGCCCAATGATCTGCAATAGATAAATGGAATATTTGCCTCCCAGAGACGGTCCGATAATCCCCACAAGGCTTTTTCATTCAGATTCGATGCAATGACTACATCAAATGTATCGAAAAATGCCGGTCGATTTGATAGTATCCAATCCACACTTTCATCTACAAAATCACCATTAACGTCTGTGTTTAATTCTTGAAGCAATTGCATGCAGGCTCTTGCTTTGGATTGACCAAGAAATGAGGCGTCCAAAAAGAAACTGAAAATATTAAATTTAAAAATTTTAGTGTGTAAACTATTAATTCAAATACTTTATTCCCAAATCATCTTCGGTGACTACGTTTCCATCTACGATAGTGAAGCCACCAATGCCGGGTAGGACAAGACTTTTCAGAACTTCACATCCTAGTGCCGTTGCATTCAGCAAACAAATTGTAGAACTTTCCAACAAGCCTTGACCATGCTCTCCCCATAAACGTATTTGACGATCATATTTTCTGCTTTTATCTGATTGTTCTGGAGATTTTGGCGCCGGTGATGACATTACTTGCTTGTTATTTATTGTATGCTGAAGGCGGTCAATGGCAGATGTTGGATCTAACAAAAAACAGAAAAACAGCTGATTTCTGCAAATTAGACTGTTTTTTTGTTATTCGATTTTTGTCGGGGAACTGTCTCAACAGAGGGATGCCAGAAGAAATAAATCAATTGACATTACCTACAATTTGTTAATTCAAGTTATTGATTATAAAACACCAAAAATGAGTATGCAATGTCATATATATATATTATATAAAGATGTATGTATATGTATATATTATTAGCAAATAAATCATTATCGATAATAGAAAACAAAAGAAAATACTATTTACGTTATTTGCAAATGTTGGTATAGTTGTTGTTGTAACGGTTATCTACTCTTTGAAAATGCTTCAATATCTGGTTAGCAGCCATCTGTCAGTTCAGTTCTGGTTAAAAAATGTTCTTTACAGAAGAAATGACTTTTACCGAGCTATTCTGTGCTGTGATACAGTCTCAAGACTCTAAATTTGAGGTTTTAAGTTAGAGAAAATTTTTGAGACTTGAGTCGATTTTGCTATTCTGTAAGTGACAGTCACAAAATCGATTACATTTCATTATTCAGAGATAATTTTACACTGGAATGAAAATAAATATGTCAATAACAAATCGACATAGTCAAAAAACATAATTAGCAATAAAAATAAAAATATATGTTAATTTTAAACTTTTCGTGTTTGAGTTGTGTACAAAATATAAGAAAGCGCCAATCGATTAATATCTATACTGAATAGAGATCATCTTCAGTATATTAAAAATGGCAGAGCAGAGTTCTGTTTAGTTCTGTTTAGTTTTGTGACCTTCTAAATTTAGGCAATATTTTGAGACTAACGCTAGAGACTGTTTAGTGAATAGTAACTAGTCACAAATTGAGAATTTACCTTAAAATGTCTCAAATAGAGACTAGAGACTGGTTAAAGAATCCCGCTATATTGGAATTTAACGGATAGGTGGCTGCTAACCAGCCTTGGAAGAAACTGCTTTAACTTAAAAAATCAAGGCGCATAGAGAAAAATGAAAAAAGGGAATGGAAAATATCTAGGAAAAGGAGATCAAAGGCTCATTCGCGTAAAAAAAAAAATATTTTTTAAGAAGCCTTAACATTATATCACATTTGCAGCAAACGAAATTTTTCATAAAATATTTTATAATATAAAAATTCAAAGAGTACGGCAGCACTCGGATTTAAACTTGGCTACACTGATTACGCGAAGAAACACGAAGTTCTTTTTTTAATGGCTGGCAATTTTTATACGTCTCACTCACTGAAGAATTCGACAGTTTGCAAGAAAGAACTCAGAAGTATTTGGACATTAGAAAACTGCATAGAAAACTTTTAGTTATACTAAAATAATTGAATTAACGTTAAGGGCGTAGCAATCGCGGTGTACAGAGAAGGCCCAATAATTTGATTCGTATAAAGTGCACAGAAAGGTGAGAGCAAGGTTTTCTATATTAGAAGAATTGAAATTCTTCAAAGTGGTTTGTGACAGCAACAAAGGCATAAAACGAAACGTAAAAGAAGTTGCAATCATCGTCAAAGATGTTCTCTAATGTAAAATGTGCTGAATTACTGAAATTTTCATATTATGCATCGAGTTGGAGGCCATTTTCAGTGAAATTTTTTCGTTAATTTGCAAGTGTAATCGTCCTCATTGTACATGTGTATGTGTGTGTGTGTGAGTGCATCGTGAATGGGGCAGAGTAACAGTGAAAAGGTGGGGAGCCAAAGTAGCAGAAGAAAAAACCAAAAATTCCTGATTTGGGGTGCGTGACGTTTGTTAACAGCGGTGCGAGCGCGTGTGCGATTTTGTGTATGTGGTGGAGTAGCAATATGTCTGTATATGCTGTAGTGAAACTCATGGCGTCTCTGCTTTACTCTGCTACGTCGGCATTTTCTAATTTTTTTTTGTTTTCWTATATGTATGTATGTAAAGCGATTTGTTTTTTATCCGTGTAAAAACGTTAGCTGCACCGGAACTCGATGCGTCGCTACCCGTTTGTCGACATCATGCATTTCCCCCCCAGTAATTTGGGGTGGCATAATTTTTGACTAAGTAAATTTTAACTTTGTTTATTTCGTTTCGTACAAGTTCGTAGTGACAAACAATTATGATTCAATAGTTTATTTTGCCGTGGTATGTTTATCCGTGCAGTCTCACCGGTTGGACATTTTTACATATATTTCTAAATATTTCTAGTTAATTTTGGCAAAAGCTCCCAGTCATATACAATTTGAAGTTTATTTCTTCATATAACCATCCGAAATTATTACATACAATTTTTCCAGCATATATTTTATATCTTTCATATAGTTGCGATTTTTAGTGTACAATTAATATAAAATTCCGTTACAGTGCAACCCAAATTTTTCAGTATGGTATGACCTTATAAGCACAGGAACCTCTAGTTTTACATTCACAGCTGTGATAGTCATTGTGGTAACTTCTGCCCCGCAACCATCATATAATGTAGTGTCAGTTTTTCGACTATGCTCATCTTTTCATCTTCATTTTATTAGAAGCATACATTCTCTCAGGTAAGAATCAGTGTGCGAGAATTCTATTGTCCAAGTAACGCAGCAAGATGCTCATAAATAGCTTAGAAATTTATAAGTAGGTAAACGTGCAGCGCCGCTAACACCACAGACATTGTTTCCTAATAAAATGCAAAGCATACCGACACAAATGTCGCTAGATGTTCTTAATGTTGGTGGTGAGAAAACTTTAACGGACGTTAATAAACAAAAAATCATTTCATGAGGTGAAATGAACTTGTGGCTTTTGTTCTGCTATATAAATTATTAATATTTTGAATCGTTGTCTAATTAATTCTTCTTAAAGTTGAATTCAGGATGGTAGCGTATTAAAAAATTACTAAAAGTGAAATCCTAAACCTTTTACAAAGTTGATATAAATAACAATATAAAATTTCAATGCTATGTAGTTTGCAATTAGCTTTAAGAACGTGTTAACTAACGTATTATTGACGTTTTCAAATTATAAACGAGGTACGATTTGTTAAGTATATTTGCTTTTGATTGGCGGTGTTTCCAGATGTGTTGCCGTTTACAATTTCTTGTGAACAAGTACAAAAATGAGGAAAACGCATATTTCTCACAAAATATCGTATATGAACAGTAAAATGCTTTGGAATACAACAGCTGGCGTACCGCAATAACGTTGTCTGTGCATATGTAGAGAACGCCACCAAAGTATATACGCAAGTATATATTTTTTTGGTGGCGGCAGAAATTTTTGCCGCAAGGTGCTCGCAGCAATACGTTTCTTCGTCGTCATCAACACACGTTTGTGTGATTCTCTACTGTTTTCGCATTTATACAAAATCTTTGCTCCTCACCATGTTAAAATATTCACCGACACCAGTTAGTCGCAGTTCATTCGTCTCATTTATTTCGTTGATCACTCGATCATTCGCTTCTCCTTTTGACAGGGTTCGGTTCAACTCATTTACACATATCCATTGAGTATCGTCTTCATTCTGGTTACGCTCGATCGTTGCGGCTCGTTTACTCTGCTTTAATGCACTTTTGTGATTTCCTTTTGATTGTAATGCAATTGGTATTTTTTTTTTATTTTTTACTACAAAGGCAACCTCTCATAGGCAGGCAGACACTTTGAATTGTTGGATCGTGTGTTGGGTTTGCTGGCTAGTTGACTGGCTGCGTACTCATGTACTGTCTTTCCCACCGATTCTTTTTGGCAGTTACATACTTGTATGTTTGTATGTGATTTTTGCTTTATTTACTTTTTCTTTTTTGTTTTTGTACGTATGTGTTTGACGTGTGTATGTGTGCATGTACCCATGAGAATCGCCATTTGAACGTGAGACAATGGGTACTATTTGTGATCAGTTGTTGTTGTTGTTGAATGCCATCATTGATGGTGTAGTACTAAATGCTTTTTCTTTGCTGTTGGTGTAATTTAAACTGCCTTTGTTGTGTTAGCTTACTGTCTTTTCTGCTGTGGTAGTGTGTGTATGGGAATTTTTGAATTCGCATTTGCACTACCCGTCCACAGTGAGATGAGTACGCTACAACGCCTGTGAGTATGAGTACACGTTTTTACCATACAAACAACCAGTATGTTTGCGGAATACTTGTGGGAATTTCGTGCGAGAAGATCATCGTCCGTACAAACAAGAGTTCTTTGATTGTCTTTTTTTTTTATTATTTTATTTACTTAAATTTTAGTTTACATAATCGCTGTGGGTGAATGTAGTATCGAATTTCTACACTTGCATATTAGAGACTAGGACCAATAGGTTATTAATATGTATTTCTTATAAAAATTAAAATTTGTGTGATAATGTATGTATGTATGTCGTAACTAATTAATAAAAATATGTGCAGACTAAAGCGCATTAAAATTTTGCTCTTGTTGGTGTACTATATTTCTAAACAATTAACTAATCCATAATTTATTTATATGCATATTATCACTTACTAAAACAATTTTTACCTGACAGCGTACTATATTTGGAGACAACTGCTGGTCGTACCGTATTATGGAAGAAAAATGTCCCAAATTTATTGATTCGAATATATTTGGCATTGCTACAACCACCGTTGTTGCTGCCGGTAACAATAAAAAGGAACAATCAGATTCACTATCACTGAATCAACGACCTTCAACTTCGTTCAATTTGAATACGGCCTCAATGTCGCTGTTGCAAGGTGAATTCGTTGACTCACGACATGATTTTGCAGAAGTTTTGGACGACGAAACTACTACTTCCGGGGTATTGGAAACATTTGAAATAAGTTCGTCTAATTCTCTACCGCCAAGCAGTTCAGATGGCCACAGAGAGGTTGTGGTGGACGACAGTTCTTCTACAGATACAATTAAATTAGTGGGAGTATCGGACGACACTTCGTGCACCAACAAGAAATTTTTGGATGTCTCAGAAGTTTTTGTAATAAATGATGATGATGATGATGATGACGATGATGAAGGTGTTGTGCCGGAAAGCGAAGTAGCGGAAGTGGAAGATGTATCTTTAGCGCCTGCGAATGAAAATGATATTAATCAACATTGTTTGGAAGATAATTCCAATCAGCATGAGCACAATCGTTTTTCGACAAACAGTACCAATAGTCAATTGAGCAATGATATGGGCAGCGTTATTGTGACGAATGGACACGGTGCGACAATTTATCTTGAAACACCAGTGGTGGAGGAACAAAATCAACATCATGCTCAGCTAAATAACATCGGTGGTGGGGAAAAAGGTGAGTTTGGTGAGAAAACAGGAAAACCCAAACGTCTGAGCGATGAATTTATGCAAACAGATGAGGCAGAACCATTTGGCAAAATGGATAAAAACAATGCTCGAACTACAAACGGCGAAGCTATGTCTAGCGTAATAACAGCATTTTTAGGGCTTGATGGCAATGAAATACTTCCTGATCGCATGTCGTTTCGACTGAAAAAAATGAACATAAGCAACACGACTAGTGAAAAGCTACGCGAACGTCCTTCCAGTTCAAGAAGCAACGAAAATAATATTGTAATATTACCAAGGCCACAAATTGCCGATATCAAAACGATTGATGCGATAGAACGCACCGATTTCGAGGAAGAGCAACGGTTGACAGGTGGTATTATTTTGAAAAATAGCACAGTCGCGAAGAAAAATATGCTTAACTTAAGGCTGATAAAATCGTCATGTATGCAGAATCAGCAAAAAGACTCAGGAAGCCAACAGGCACAATTTGAGTTGGGAGATGATTGCCCCAGCAGCAGCAGCAATATAAATAATAGCAGTCACAACGGTGTTGGTCGTGCAGTTTCATCTGACAGCAAGGTATTTATTACTTGTTTATATGTTGTGCTATTTATTGCTTTTTAAAGTTATGTGTATATGATAATTAACGTTATTTTTTTTTAGTGCGCTTACAAGGATCCAACATCAACGCCAACAAGTAGTCGCCCTCACACCAGTCGTTTAACCAAATCTACTGCCAAACTTAATTTGTGCTCTTCTCTAAGTCATCCCCTACATCGGCAAACACAATCATTTCAAGATCGAACCAAAGGTGCCAACAATTCCAAAACACAGCTAAAAACACAAACTGGCAATAAAAACAGTCTGACATCGTTAACCTCGTCCTCCCATACGTTTACGAATTCCGTTTCGTCGGCATCTACATCTACAACTGCTTCTTCGTCCTCCGCAGCGGCATCATCTTCTTCATCATCATTATCTTCGTCTACATCATCTTCAGTGATTGTAGAGGCACCTACTGCCACATCGACTTCATCCTCATCATTGCCAGGCGCCGCGGCCTGCACAGTTGGCAGCGGGGGAGCGGAAATATACTCAAACTCTAATTCGAATGACAGCCTTATGAGTAGTACATCAACAACCATCAATTGTGGACAGCGAGTGCAACAGCAGCAGCAACCGCAACAGGCACAGCAGCAGCAGCAGCAACAACAACAACAACAGCAGCAGCAGCTGATCCCCTATATATTGGTTGATAAGTCCGATGTAGGAGGCTGTAGTCGCACAAGTTCTATGCATGCCGTTGTAGCAGTAGCTGCAGATAATGCTGCACTCGCTGCAGCTTCCACAGGCGGCGCCGAAGTCATTCCTGTTTTCGATGACGCTCAACCTTCAACTTCGTCTGCTCGCTGTCATTATGCTCCGTCCATGAAGAATTTACGTCAGGTACACGCTAGCGCTCAAACGAATGAACGTTACCTTAGACGTTCTGTTGGGTCACTGGATTCGGGAAATGTCAATGCCCTTCCAACTACAGCAAGATTTCGTCGGCGCGCCGAATTTGCTGCTCAGTTGACCAATCCTCCTGATGATATGTCTCTTGAAGCTTTCAAAGCATTGGCCCAAGCTGCAGCTCAAGCAGTTATGTCTGATTATAATGAGGAAGCTTCGTGGGCCGATTGTGACGAGAACACTTCCGATGAGGAAATATGTACTTGCAATCATAGTAGTAGTAGCAGTGCAAGTAATAGCAGTCACGGTGGTAGCAATACCAGCTTAAACGAGACGGACGTTGATGGAGCTGATATTTCTTCGACCGGCGCTGGTGCCGATGTCAGCGCCAATTGCACAGCCAAAGATGGTGATCTGTCAAATTATATACAAATGGTTTCGATATCAGAGGAGGTGGGTGGCAATGGCGGCGCGAACAACACTGCGGAAAATGCATCCACCTGTGCGCACATTAACGCTCAACAGCGTAAGCGCAAATACGATAGCCGTTTGCCGGATGCCAACGCCAATGCAGTAATATCCAGCAGCGGTAATACTGCCAACATTGACGATGCTAATGGAAGAAAGCGTATAGCTTATGATTTTGCATTAACTCCACGCCACTGTAGTGCTTTAGTAGCTAAACCCTCCACAACTTCAACACAATTGGCACCGCTGTCAGCCATCAGTAATTCACCTGTGGGTCGACGAACTCCGCGTTCCATAATACCTACACGTGAGAATCCACCTCCCGAATTACAACATTGGCTGACACAATTTCAACGTTGGACACATGTTGAGCGACTGATGGCCATCGATCGTCTGATTGAGTATTGCGAGCCAACACAAGTTCGTCACATGATGAAAGTGATTGAACCACAATTCCAACGCGACTTTATTTCACTGCTGCCGCGTGAGCTAGCACTGCAAGTGCTTACTTATTTGGATCCAAAAGATTTGTTGCGTGCCGCGCAGACTTGTCGCAGTTGGCGCTTTTTATGTGATGATAATTTGTTGTGGAAGGAGAAATGTCGCAAGGCGCAAATACTCACGGAGCCACGTACGGATCGACCGAAGCGCGGACGAGCGGGCAATATGCCACCAATCGCCTCACCGTGGAAAGCGGCATATATGCGCCAGCATATAATCGAAATGAACTGGCGTTCGCGACCAATACGCGAACCGAAAGTACTGAAAGGGCATGACGATCATGTCATCACTTGCCTGCAATTTTGCGGCAATCGCATAGTGTCCGGCTCAGATGACAATACATTGAAGGTTTGGTCTGCTGTGACTGGCAGGGTAAGTTGGGTGTTTCATTATAGCTATATAATCCATACTTGACATTTACAAATATCAATTGTGGTGTTTTATTTATAGTGTTTACGCACGCTGGTGGGTCATACTGGTGGCGTCTGGTCCTCGCAGATGGCGGGTAATATAATAATCTCAGGTAGTACCGATCGCACGCTGAAAGTCTGGGACATGGATTCCGGTCAATGTTTACACACATTGCAGGGGCATACCTCCACCGTGCGATGTATGCATTTACACGGCAATAAGTGAGTACTAATTAATATTTGCTGAATCACGATGTTTAAATGCATTTTTTTTCTTTTTTTTTTGTTGTAGAGTCGTCAGTGGTTCGCGCGATGCGACTTTACGTGTTTGGGATATTGTGCAAGGTATATGTTTGCATGTTTTGGTGGGTCATTTGGCGGCGGTGCGTTGTGTGCAATATGATGGCAAATTGATTGTGTCGGGAGCTTACGATTACATGGTGAAGATTTGGCATCCCGAACGGCAGGAGTGTCTACACACCCTCTCAGGGCACTCAAATCGTGTTTATTCTTTGCAGGTAATATATTGTTTATTTGTGAAAGTGATGTATTATTTATTATATCGATTATTATAAATTTATCGTTTATGAACGAAAATGTTTATTGAAACTTTAATTCATCTACCATTTATAGTTCGATGGAATACATGTGGTATCCGGTTCGTTAGATACCTCTATACGAGTTTGGGACGTTGAGACTGGTAATTTGAAGCATATACTCATGGGTCATCAAAGTCTAACATCTGGCATGGAATTGCGTCAGAATATTTTGGTATCTGGTAATGCGGATTCCACGGTGAAAGTTTGGGATATCACAACAGGGCAATGCTTGCAAACTTTGTCAGGTGAGTGCAAAATATTTCTAATCCGAAATTGGTTTCATTCATGCAATTTAATATTACTAACATATATATTTTGTGCGTTTAGGTCCCAATAAACATCAATCGGCTGTAACGTGCTTGCAATTCAATTCACGTTTTGTGGTAACGAGCTCTGATGATGGCACCGTGAAGCTGTGGGATGTGAAAACTGGCGAATTCATACGTAATTTGGTCGCACTGGATTCAGGCGGATCCGGTGGCGTTGTCTGGCGCATAAGGTATGTAACGAACGCAGAAGATTTTTTCATTATCAAAATATTCCAACTTTAACGGTATTGTATCTCGATTGTTTTGTTTAGAGCGAACGATACAAAATTAATATGCGCAGTCGGTTCGCGTAACGGTACGGAAGAAACCAAACTCATGGTTTTGGACTTTGATGTAGAAGGAGCTTGTGTAAAATGTTCATAGAAAATGTGACAACCGGTTGCTGCAAATAAATACTACATCTAATTAAACATATTACACCTAAGGAGCAGAAATTCATAGTGGCAGCATGTGTCAGCAGAAAAACAAAAAAAAAAAAGAACAGCAAACACCTCACATAAGACTCGACAAACGAGTCACATGTTTGTATGTATACTGATTTCGTTGTCCAATTTTCTGCTGGAAGTTTACCTCCCTAAGTTTAGTACGAAAATAATGGTTTACCCTGATGTCATGTTGAGAAAATGCCGGCAAACAAAAAAACATGACCTTATTGGGTGCACAGATATATGTATTTTAAAGGCTATCTGAACTAAATATTAACTGCTGCAATTCACATAAGATAATTGGTAATAATTGAGATAGGCGGTACCCAATTGGAGGACGTGCATACAAAGTAAGCTCTAAATATTAAGCAGAACTTTAAATTTTTTAAGCTTAACATTAATTTAGTTGAGAACTCTTCATGCATTTGCTTAAAATTTAATTATCATGCAGAAATGAAAATGCAAAAAATTCCATGTCTATATCTTCCAGTTGGGTATAACGATAAAATTGTGTCTATCTCCAAAAAATATGGCAAGTGAGCAAAACCATGTAGAGTTTAGAAAATTTAATTTTGGTAATTCGTTTTACATTACTCGCATATACAACAGCAGGAGGAAATTCAAAAACATTTAAACACATATTTTTTGTGTTAGTAGTACAACTAATTTGTATTTTTAATGTTTACATATTTCAATTAATTTAAGTTAAAGAGTTTGAACTTAACACATTTTAAACGAATTCGTCTGATAAAACAGTGGAAAAATCGTAACAATATAGATCATATTAATAATGAGAGCTTTATAATCTTATCATGTACGAGTATGCATAGCGATTTGGTTTGCGAATACGAACATACCTACCTACTTACTTATAAAATAATGTCAATTGAAGTTGTTGTAAAATTTACATGTTTCATGCTGCAACACTTGGCTGCATACATATATATTTCTATATGCAGATATTGTGCATTATCGTTTCACTTCTGTGTTTATTTTTATTTTTTTCCTTACTATTGTACTGTTAAATCTTTTTATGTTGTTGGCAAAGCTTGAAACCTCAGCAATTTGCGAACAGCAAGTATTTCAAGCATACTCATGCGCATTGAAGTAATTGTAAACGATTTTATTTAGAGATTTTCAAACGAAAATTATGTTCTTCCACAGACACCACCATTCGGCACAGTTTTCCGTTGTGCTTGTGATGGTGCGTAATTTGTTACAAAAAAATTAGTAAATTTCTGTTTTACTTTTTTTTAAACAACTCAAGTTTTAAGAGTCATCACGTTAATAGTTTTGTTTAAATTGTGTTATCAAACCAAACATTCACATACAGTTGTTAGGTAGTATTTTTTTTTTTTTTTAATTATTATTATTATAAAAATATGTATTTTCACGATTTGTTAGCTTCGTTCATTGCATTCAGAGCAAACGCGCAATTGTTATAGTCTGTTTAAGAAACAAACAACACATTATTTAGGCAACGCAGTCCGAATCTTCAGTTGATTAATTTGAAAAATGGCTTGTTGCATTTTAAAATAATTATATTTGCCACGAATATTGCCATGCATAAGAATTTACACATACATTTTCTGCAAAGAGAATCCGAATGCATATTTATATAGAGAAAAAAAGTAAAAAAAAAACGGCTAAACAAATTGAACAAAAAATGCAAACCACAAAAAAACAAAGAATCGAGGAAGATACAACCGTACACACAAGCATAAGTTTGAATGTATGTATAAGATTTGTGAATTTGTGTAGCAACGCACACATGCATAGACAACGCCTCACAACGCATGATAGCTAGGGTGTGTAGTACATATAAATGACTATTAAGCCTTTGAAAAAATTGTTTTTGATAAGCTTATGAAAAAACCCCTGATTTTGGGTTTTTAATGAAATTATTGTTTTATTTTATATTCGTTTATAAGTCACGTGGTATAACATGTGCAAGCTCGTTCGCTGGAAGCCGATTCATGTTTATGTGTCCGTGTGTGTGTGTGTGCGTATAGAATATATTAAGTGAAGCATAAAAGAGAAGAAAACAAATTGAATATTAAATTTTAATTATAGACTGATTTATTAGTAACTAATCTATATTTTAATAACATTACTGTATCAGTTTAAGTATAACAAAAAAGCATAAGAAAACAAAAACGCGATGCGAAAAGTATGAAAAACAAATAATACATTAAAGTTCAGGTCAAAATTTTGCCGTCACATGAAAACAACAGCAGCAGCAACAAGTCAAGCGAAATAAAAAAAAAAAAAAACAAAAACGTGTTGGCTTCTCACCACGATCACACATAATCAGTATATAAAGCGTAAATATATACACACATCAAATACAAATAAATATAGTTACATATATATATTTATATATAGTGACGAAACACATTCATACATCATCAAATCATTATTTCATCGTTTCATCACGCCGCCACTCGTTGTGGACACCACAGACGCTTGCTTGTTGTTTGCTTGATTTGTGCGCGCGCGCAAGCGTAACAGCTATTATTGTAAAAGCATCCAATAATGAATGTACTAAAACTCTAAAAATAAACAAATTAATTGCATATATACTATAATGAAATGCAAAACAATTACATACATATATCTATAATCGCAATAAATTCATAAATTGATTAATAAAATACAGTAAATGTAAACAAAATATAGAAACTTGCTTTACTTTATTACACAAAGGTTGGGTAACTTGCTTTAATTGCGCATTTTGGAAATTGCCGCAACAATATGGAGACACACAGACGAGAATGCTCCAAACTTGTCAAGTGTCTCCCGTCGAACACCTATGTATACAGTGAGGCCCGTATGCTCCCATTTAAAGAGCATAATGAACACCTGCGCAAGTAGTGCCTGATAGGGTGCTTTGGCAGAAATCATGCCTGCAGTGACTTGCTTGTAGCGGAACCGCCTCCTAGGAGCATCAAAAGGTCACTCCCCAACTACGTCGACGGCATCAAACAATATGCCGACCCGACTTCGGACGCAACTAACTTCCGACAAACACTGGCCCCCATTCACAGTGGATCCATCAACATCTCACCGACTCCCTTTCAGTGAACGAAGTACTTGGAGTCAAAACACCACCCACTGCAGACGAAGAGCTCGAGTTGGCGCGAGATACGAGAGTGACCCTTGCGCAGCTGCATTCTGGATAATGTAGCAGGTTAAACTTCTCCCTATGGTCCCACTGCGTCGAAATAGCACGTTTCTTGGGCCTAATGTTGAATGAGATCGATGACAACTTATCTAATCCTCACCATCCTGGCGGGGTTTAAGTAACGGTTACCGCAACATTTTCATTAAAACTCTTTAGTCCTAGTAAAATTTCATCAGATACTGTTTAAGTATAAAGGTGCTTGAAAGAAACCCTTTTCCCCCCGTATTCAAAATCACCAATAACGTAACTTTTTTTTTTGTTTTTTAAATTCATTTTTATTTTCTATTTCAAAATACTTCGTTGTTTGCAGTTTTAAAAGCTTGCAAATACATTGATGTGACGAGTATATATTTAGTTACAAATAATATGTATAATACCGTGATTTAATACGAAGTTTAAAAGTAAATGCAATAACAAAAAAGAATTACAAGAAAATACCGTTCAGCCAGTTTCTGTTTTAGATTAATTAAGTAAACAACGATTAGAATCATTAATACCACAATATATTGAAACTAAATAATATCTCTGCAAATATATGAGGTTTGGGGATTTAACTATTCACTGTGGTAACTGTTAAAAATAATAATAATTAAAAAATAAATTTTAATACAAAGTGATGGTATATCGTCATCATTATTATTGTAGTTCGCAAAGGACGGTTGCATAATCTCTCTACACTTTGGTGCGTTTATTATTATGACCTTCGATGCCCACACTACACCGCGACATCAACTCTTGCGCAGCATTAGTGTCGCCACTGAACGCCGCCGCCGACATTGCCGACGAGGTTGCAACACCCAAACCACTAAGTGTTGCACCGCCGCCACCGTTGCTTGGACGTTTGCGGTTTGGCGATGGCACCGGTGACTTCTGCTTCAAACATTCCACATCATCGAACACAACTTGTGCGCCACCGCCACAGGTCGGTATAACATTGCCTTTGTAGAGCTTGGTTTCAACATCACCGTCTGTGTCTGCCTCTTGTGAAACCAGACAGTACTTGGTGTTCTTGTGATGCGTCAACTCTTTGGCGTCGGTTAGTTTCGTTACAGATTTACGATTTTTCAGATATGGTTGGAGAATAGTACCGAGTGGCACAGGATTGGGTGCACGATGCTCGATCCACTTTTCGCCAGCAGAACGTGAGCGGCGATGTCTATTGTTAGCTGCAGCCATGCCCTGTCGACAAATAAACAGTTGATAATTTCAATATACTATATATTAATATTATATGCAAACTTACCCTAACATGGCGTGGTGTGGCATATATTTCAGTGCGCGCGCTATGCACTTGTGTCGATTCGCCACGTGTGGCTGACGGTGGCTCTGAAATCGCCAATTTGTTGTCCAGAATATCATCATTGCTATTTCGACGCACCAAAGTGGGTATATCCTCCGATTGTATAATATTGGACACGAGGCGTAATTTTTCATCGCGCACGCGCATCTTTTCACGCATTTTGTCGCGCTGTTCGCGTAAGCGTATTTCCAGTTCACGATCTTTTTTATCCACCTCCACCGCGAGCTTAGATGTATATTTCTTCTTTTGTTTTTCTTTTTCTTGTTCTTTTTGATTGATCAAATTTTGTTGATCTCTTAATTTTCTGGTAAGTTCATCGATCTGTCTTTCCCGATTACCCAATTTGTTGTTAAGTTCATCGATTGAGCTCTCATGCACACGTAATTTATTCTCCATGGCAATCATGCGATCGCGTTCTTGTTTGTAAACCGTTTTTAGTGATGCCAATTCCGTACGTAATTGTAAATTCTCTCGCTCCATTTGCATCAGGTGCGCTCTGAAATTATCACAACGAGTCTCTAGATCGGCGCACAATATTTTCCTTTTTTCTATGCGTTGCATTAAATACTGCATCAATTCTTGTATGGCGGTCTGCGCTTCCGGACTATCGATTTTGTAATCAGGAAAACCGGGTCCCAATGAGTACACCAAACCAATGTCCACATCCAATTTGTTCGCTTCGGTATGCCCCAAGTCATTGAGGTTGTTCACCGCTATCTTAAAGAGCTTGTTTGCCTTTCGACGTCCGGGAGTTAAACCAAGATCCGGTTTCATGGGTGTGGCGCGAGCAATCTGTACTTCTTGTGTCATCTCGGCAAATTTCATTACTTGCTGAATATACGAAATATTAATAAGCGTTAATAAATGATTCAAATGATCAAATTATCAATAACACAAAACTTTCAAATGCACCGAAAACATAATTTGAAAATATATACTACATATTTATGCCTTACTGTGTTTTCGTCATAATCCTCTGCTCGCGGATTGATACACACAATCATCGACACTTGTCCCTCACCGTCGAAGTAGTTTTTGAACATATGTGTGAGTTTTGAGTCGCGGTATGGAATTTTCTTGGGTGCACTATTTAGTGGCGCTTGTTGATTTTCGCGTAGATATTCCAGACACGTTCGTAGAGTCATTAATGAATTGTTTATACTTGATGCTTCGCGCAAACGCATTCCTGTATTTTTTGTACGTGATGAACGTTCGCTACCCGCCAAGTCTACCAGTGATAGCTGACTTACTACAATGGTGCGTTTATCTTGCACAACATGCTCTCCTTGACAATCCGTCGGCGCTTGTACCAAACGTATGTTAAATACAGAATGACTACGACTAGATTCTGCATTTAGCACTGTGTGACCCATACGTTTGCGTTTCTGACCAAATTGGAAAGCTTCAATAGCTTCCTCAACTGATTTTATTTCTATTTCAGTTACACCGTGTACAAACATGTTGTTTTTGGCATCTGACCGAATAATTTTGCTTTGCAAAGTTCTAAAAGCAAAATAAAATGTACAAACATAAATTAGATGGAATAAAATAGAGCAGTAGCTTACTTCTGAGGTGCATCTTCTTCGAGCAGATCATAGACACTATTATTGTAAATTTCAATATATGTCACAAAAACTGCAAACATATTATCTTCTTCGAGCCCGTGTAAGGGTGCTGCCTCACATGAGGCTTGTGAAGCGATTTCAGGATCAGAATCTTTACGTCTTAACGCGTTGCGCTCTCCCGCTGCAAAACGCCTATTCATTTCTGCCTGTCGTTCAAGTAGAGCGTCTGCTTCAGACAATATTTCAAATCCGTTTAGTTTGTCAGGTTTGAAAATATATTTCTTTGCTTGATAGTCTGATATTGTTTTGAACAGCGCATCTAAACAACGTGGCATAACACCGCGATGACGAGAATCCCCTGTCATTGTGTACGTTTTACCACTCCCAGTGACACCATAGGTAAATAAAAGACTATTTCGACCCCGTATTAGATTCTCAACCAACGGTTGAGCTACAGCATTAAATACATCACCTTGGGAAACGTGTGGTTCAAAGACGTGCTTGAAAATATACTGCATTTCACGATGTGCTCCCTGTTTATGTTGCAAGGCTTGATCTGGTGGCGTTAAGATCACGGTGGTAGAGTTTTTTACTCGCACACTGGACAAATCTGCATCGGATTGCAATGGTCGTACGCGACAGTAAACATGCACAGGATCACGAGGCTTATTGGGATCATGATCAGATTTACGATCATTATGATTGGTTTGACAACGTGGAGTTTTTGGTAGACGCAATGGCGTGCGTGCGCTGTAAAGCAAAAATTCGTATTAGCATTCACATTATCACAGTTATGAGTCTACTTACATTGTCTTCATTATGCGTTTGTATGATAATTCTTATATGTTCTTTTTATAGCTTTGAATATTTCTTGCAAAACACATTTAAACGAATTATGTATTTTTTATTCCATCAAACAAAAACTGAAAATTTTTGTGTCCTTGTGCCTTTCAGTTATTTTGAACATGAGCTGTCATTCGAATGACGCGCTATTTTAGCTGAAACAGAGTTGCTTCTCCAAGCAATTCACAAACATTTAGTGTGATAATTGTGAATTAAAGGGTATGTATCACCTACAGATGGAGCTCGGGTGAAATTCAGCAGCATGAATTGTCGGAAGTTGTGTTTAAATACAAATTTTTTTTTAAAGGGTAGTAAATAGAAATTAAAACCTGTTTGAATTAAAAAAAAGCTCAGGCTCTTATAGCCTTGACAGACCGCA